AATTTACCCTGAAGCGGAAACTCTGGAGCTTAGAGAAAATCTGTAGATTTCAATTACTGATGCTCTTTGGAGCCCTCTCAGTACATTTCATTCACTGGGGTTACTGGAATATAGAATGTAAGAAACTGACAAAGTAAATGGATCTGGTTTGGCCACTGACTAGCTATGAGATCCTAACCTCACAGACCTCTGTTTTCTAAGACTATTTTCTGCTTTAAGATGCTATAGAACCAAAGAGTATAGAGATCGTTTTTCATTTCCAAAGTTTGTATCTCAGAATACTAAGTGAATCAGTGGATGAAACTAGAAGAATGGGTTTCACCGCCAAACCCTTTTGACAAATTCTGCTATCACGGTGCTCTGATGATATGGCTTCTCAGGACACTTAATATGCTGACGTGCTTTGTGACTATTCATAGTGTGGTGCTGAGTGCAGCTTTCCCCACACTTGTGCTCCGAGCCACCTTTTTGACGGAGCATCTTATGGGACCTGTATTCAGTAGATATATGTCGGGAAAGTGATTAAATCTAAACCGTTGGTTTTAGATATGAAGATTGAATTGTACAGTCCTGCTGTCATGATGAGTATCAGCATGTTTACAGGAAGCTGTTGGGAAGGGAGGCAACATCCATTTATCAGAGTTCCTGACAAACTGGACTGAGAACATCTGTCCCTATTCAGGGTTCCCCTGAGTACCGGGGCAGGGCTCCCTCATGTTGCCTCTGTCACAATCACACCCACAGAAAGATTAGCCAAGGGGCGTGGGGTGCTGTCATGGCTGCTTCCTCCTTACATGGAGCAGTTGACTTGCTCCCCAAGTCCTGGGGGAGAGACATTGTACTGAACTGAAATGAAAATCACCTTATGTGCAGAAGGAAGTTTACCCAGCATTCTGAAAGTACAAAAACCAGATTCTTAAATGAACATTCTGGAGGTTGAGTTTTTCAGGAAAAAAATAGCTAATGCCAGGGCAACTGGGTGGCTCACTCAGTTAAGCATTTGACTCTTGATTTCAGCTCAGGTCATGATCTCACGGTCTGTGAGTTCAAGCCCCAAGTCGAGCTCCATTTTGACAGCGTGGAGCCTGCTTGGGATTCTCTCTCTTTCGCTTTCTCTCTATCTCTCCATCTCTGTCCTTTACCTGCTTGGGCTCTCTATCTCTAAATAAATAAACTTCAAAAAAAATTTTTTTAAAGGCTGATTCCAAGTAATTAAGCTAACATTTGTGGTTTTTTTCTTTTCTATTATTCTGTATTTTGAGTCAGTGATAGGATATGTTAAAGGTCACATCATACCCAGGCTAATTTTCTACAGTGACATCTAAAGTTCTGTAAAATGGTCTGTATTATAAAATGTTTTTGAAGATAGATTATTTACATTTCTTGAGAGCATGAATTATATTTATATTGTGTCCCTAATGACTAACACAGGGCTTGGCATACATTAGGCACAGAGTGAGAAATATGTCTGCATTCATCAGTAAATTATAATCTGATGATTAGACTTTAATAATGGTAATAATACATTAATGGTACTAATGACATCCTATCTTTTCCAAAATGTCAAAGATAAATTCCTTGACCTGGTTAAGGTTTAAAAGCAGAAGCTAGTTAACAGTCCTTATTTATAATCTTCTATTTTCATAAACAGTTGTATTGTGATGCGGTATTTCTTCCAGGGAATAGTAAGCGGGGTCACTTCTGTGTTTGACTTTTAAACACACACACATAGACTTAGACCTGGAATGAGTCCGTAGATACTGAGTCCTATCTTCCAGTCATTGTAGGATTCCCCTGTCAGCCACGTGGCCTGTTATCCCCAGAGATAACACACATAATAATATGTATGGCTCTGAAGGGCCTACGGAGTCATCAAAGGATTAAGTCATGTGGGTAAATTACAGTTTTTCTGTCTTTTTATTCACTTAATAAAAACTTTTTTTTTTTTAAGCACCTACAATATATAAAGGAACTCACTAGGTACTGTAAAGGGAGTAAAGAAACTGAGACAGACCATCCCACAAGAAGCCTGTGGTCTTGCAGGAGAGGTAGGACACACACATAAGTAATTACAATGCTGGGTAAAATTATAACATGCTGGTAATGTGCTGTTGTGTTAATTTAGAGTTCTTTCAAAATTAGTTTATTTTTCTTTTAAAATGGGTAAGCAGATTCCCCTGTGAATTAGAATGCCCCGTCTGCTGACTATTCTGGATAAACAGCATCTGTGACATCAGGTTTTATTAGCAGTGATCTCCATTGTCTGAGAGCCATGCTTCTTGTTAGGTAGCAGGACAGGGCCTTCCCAACAAGGTCTTATTGACCAGCACTAAGTCCCTTACTTTGGACATGTAATTCACTTGAACTGGATGGGTGAGGAGGATGAATCACGATGACAGGAAGGTGGGTACTTTGGGCAGCAACACAGTAACACATTGGTCAAGCTGTCAAGTGACATCCAGAAATGGGGTCAACAAAGGCACACAAATTATCCTTGGCTTGCAGAATGGCTCCATCTGATAGAGAGTGGATCTGTAGGGGCAGAAGTGACCACTACCTGATGGTGTGAATTGACTCTTTGTTTTTTTCTGATTTGAGCTGTATTTTTATCTCCATTTTGAGAGAGAAAAAAAAAGTAAGGAATTTATTTATATCCCCAACATTCCAAGATCATTATGGAAACAGGTCTTTCATACATTAGGAATGATGTTGTCAGAGAAAGTTGGTCTAAAGCCTTTGTCTGAGCCAAGAATCCAGAATTCAATACTATAATCATTTATTTTAGTTTTAAGTTTTATTTATATATTTTGAGAGAGAGAACACACACATGAGTGGGAGAGATGCAAGAGAGAGAGAGAGAGGGAGAGAGAGAGAATCCCAAGCAGGCTCCATGCTGTCAGTGCAGAGCCCAAAGTGGGGCTCAACCTCACAAACTATGAGATCGTGAACGTGAGCCGAGATGGAGAGTGGGACACTTAACCAACTGAGCCACTGAGGAGTCCCAATACTGCCATCTTTTAAATATACACAACAACAAAATAACATCAAAGTACACACCTTATGGGGCGCCTGGGTGGCTTAGTCGGTTAAGCATCCGACTTTCGCTTAGGTCATAATCTCGTGGTTCGTGGGTTCGAGCCCTCCGTCGGGCTCTGTGCTGACTGCCAGCTCAGAGCCTGGAGCCTGTTTCAAAGTCTGTGACTCACTCTCTCTCTGACCCTCCCCTGCTCATGCTGTCTCTCTGTCTCTCTCCTAGAAATAAATAAAAAACATTAAAAAATTTTTAAAAAAAAGTACACACCTTGTACATTTCCTTATTTACATCTTTTGCCTTGAAAATTGATGATTAAAAATACTTTTCATGTATGGACATGATTTTTTTAAAAAATTAAATGTTGTAAATCATTAAATGAAATGGAGAGATGAGTTAACAAGGAAGCTCATAATTTTAACTTTTTTGTATGTCAGACCAGGACTGGGATCATGATTCTGATTCAGAGGGGCATTATGAGGACAGAGGGATTGGTTTCGTCCCCTAGCTCCTTGCAAGTCTGGCTGATGAAAGAGCAGGGAAGCACATCACCAGGGTCCCAGGGAGTCATGCATCTCTTCCTCCCTCCACTTGGTCCATTTTGCAGAGGTAACAAAAGGGTCATCTATGCTAGGATCACCACCTAGAGCTTTGGTATTAGCTTTTTATGGGAGCTCAACCTCTCCAGTAAAATATTTAATTATGGAGTCTATTCATTTGATTTCTGGCCCTTATATCTACCAGAGACCATGCCCACTTCCCAGAGTAAGTTATCTGTGGGATGCAAACAGTCAAAACACTTGAAGCAGCTCATGCCTTTGTGTTTTATAGTTGAGGTAGCAATTACTTATAGGATCAAGATTTGGGCAGACTCCAGTATTAACTCACATTTTTGACTTATTATTTGGCCAGATAGCATTTGCTCTTAAGTCTTAGCAAGCAGGCCCCCTTCCCAGGGGCCCACTCTTTAGACAACCCTACCCTTGCCCTCATCTGGTTACTATTCCAAATAGGGCAGGGAATCCATAGGCCAGGGGTGTATTCACTCAGAGCCATGCTCCCCTTTTAGAATACACTTCAGGTACCCACACCCCAGAATTCTCTATTGAAGAGTGGTATGGACCTGCTTGCAGGAATGATATGGAGCTCTTCCCCTGATCTATCCTCCTGAGGGCATACTGTTTCATTGGTGCAGTGCCACAGGCATAAGCAATGGCCAAAAGGGGGTGCTAACATGGCCAGAGCTTGAACACAGGGTCTGGGATCCCTCATTGCATGTGTATGATGCCTTTCATGATACTACAGGCCCTGTCTGGAGGGGTGGGAGGGGGGTAGAGGGCATCGATCTAGGCCAGGACTGCTCTCCCTGAACCACCACATTCTGGTGTGGAGCTCTGTGGAGCCAAAATATTCTAAATTTCATACCAAATTTTTTAGGTCATTATAAATGTTTATTTGTTAAGGTAGGAAACTTGTTATCTTCACCTATAGTTGTTAAATATTTAGCCACAAGATATGTGAGCCTCTGTTTGCACTCTTTTCTGTTTTTGTTGTTTGTTGTAGCTATCGTTTGTTTTCACTTTTTTGCACACCAAGCCCCACAAATTACAGGACTAGGCCCATTCTTGGAATAGGCTTGATTTTGAGTTTGTTTAAAATCTTAATATATGGGTGCCTGGGTGGCTCAGTCGATTGAGCGTCTGATTTCAGCTCAGGTCATGATCTCATAGTTGGTGAGTTCGAGTCCCACGTTTGGCTCTGGGCTGACAGCTTGGAACCCGGACCCTGCTTCAGATTCTGTGTCTCCCTCTCTCTTCCCTCCCCTGCTCGTACTCTGTCTCTGTCTCTCAAAATTACAAAAACAATAAAAAAATTTTTTAATAAAAAATAAAAATACTTAAAATCTGAATACAAAGGATCTGGTAACAGAGGGCTGAAATGTGGGTGGTGGGTGGGTAGCTTTGTCACAGGTCAGAGGCAGCATGCTCATAAGCAATGTTCCAACTATGTCCCAATGTCCTGGCTCTGCTCCCTGGCCTGATAGGGGAAATCATGTGTGTGTGCACGTTTAACATCCACTGAGAATCAGAAGAATATGACTTGGCTGTTTTCAAATAACTCAAGCCCCACACTGCTGCTCTGCTCTAGATTGCTGCCGTTTCCCTGCCAAGCCGCTCTTCCCAGTTGACTTCCTTAAGCTGCTTGGAGTTAAGAGCTGGGCACCGTGAAGGCCTCTTCCAGGCGAAAAAGAATGAGCTAGAAAAAAAGAATTGGGCCAAGCTTCCTTGATTCAATCACTTCACTTTGGCAAATCCCTAAGCCTTTCTATCTGTTTTGTCGGAGGTCAAATGAGTAGACTAATTCGGTCCTACCTCTGAGGGCACTGAGTAGCAGGGTTACTTAATGATGACCATGATGGGCTTTGCAATGTAAAGTCATACATAAAAGAAAGGGGCACTACAGCTATTTTTTCCCAAGTCTGGAGTGCATCCTGCTATCCAATGACACAGTTAAGCTTCTAAGTACTGATCACAGACTGCTGCAGACTTCAGGAGTGTGGAAAAGCACAGCTGGACTCACATTACCTGAAGCAGAAAGCAGGGTTGGTAATGGGGGTAGAGCTCTGGGGCAAGTAATCAGTGCCCATCACAGATTCTTGGATGGCAGGCAGCACTAATGTCCGCTGGGTCCAGCCGGTGGCAGATGATGGACTGGTCTCTGCAAGCAAAGTACAAAAAACAGGTGTATCCATTTATTCCTGGGACCATTCTGGAAAGGTTGTATTTTTTTTGTTTTTTTTTTCATTCTGGAAAGATTCTTGAGCTATCAAGCATCACATTGAGTAGAGAGCTCTTCCCAAAGATCTCCTTTGCACTTCATCCTATTGTCCCTGGCTCAGTTTGCTGGCTGACAACTCAGAGTAGAGGTGTTTTCTTTCTTTCTTTCTTTCTTTTTTAAATGTTTTATTTATTTCTGAGAGAGAGAAAGACAGCGCGAGCAGGGGAGGGTCAGAGAGAGAGGGAGATACAGAATCCGAAACAGGCTCCAGGCTCTGAGCTAGCTGTCAGCACAGAGCCTGATGTGGGGCTTGAACCCATGAACCATGAGATCATGACCTGAGCCGAAGTCGGACGCTTAACCAACTGAGCCACCCAGGCGCCCCTAGAGGTGTTTTCTTCAGGGACACAGTTTACTGAAAATATGCAACAAGGATCAAGCCTGTTGAGGATGTATTTCTTCCTTTAAGGTCATATGTCTTATTTACAGGGGTCATATTCCATGGTTCACTTAAACACACGGCTACATGATGGACCAGAAGTCATACTGGCCTTGCTAAGCACTGCACTTTGGAACGGTTGATTACTTTGGCTAACACGGGATTTCTGTGTCTCTTACACTATTCACCTAACAACATTCATATGCAACAAATCCTAACTTTTACATAGTGAGTGAACATGATTGTCCTTCTCTTAATGTCTACAAGACTATATGTTTCTAGGATGGCATATCATATGTTGTAATTATGTTTATACAGTCTCTTCCTTATTATTAGATAACCTGAAGCTCCTTGAAAACCCCAAAAGGGTCTTAATCATTATTACATTGCCCATTACATCAGTAAAGGAGGCACAAAAATACGCTTAATCAAATACATTGAAAATTAAAAGACCTAACGAGTGATGAAATTATAGAAAGGCCTAATGTTCATAAGGAACTTTCTTTCTTTCTAGGGAGCTTCATTTTCAAATAATTTTTAAAAATATCTTGTTGGAATCTCTAAGTATATTATATTGGTTAAGATCAAAATTCTGCTTCAGCCAGACCTAGGCTTATATCTTAGTTCTGCAAATTACCATTTATGAGTTCTTGGGAATGGTACTTAACAAGCTCTGTGCCTTAGTTTCCTCATCTGTGACATGGGGATAACAACTCATAGAGATGGTGTAAAGATTAAATGAGCTTAGCACCAGGCCTGACACAAAAGAAGCAAGAAATAAGCACTCAGATGGTATCACTGTCATCACCATTAGGGATTGTAGGGGAATAGTCTTGGTTGCTCTCAGAGCCTCAGAGTACAGCCTCCAGATTTAACAGCCTACCCCACCGTTCCCTTAATACTGACTTTTATAAATGTGAAACAGGAAACCACTTAGGTTAGAAATTCCAAGTTCTCTGCCTCTGGCCCCTGATTTCAGATTTTGCTCTTTAGATACTTGAAGTATGAGTAAGATAGTTCTCATTCAGACATAATGTAAGGGCTGTTTAAAAGGCACTTTGTAGGATGTAAAACATGTTGCTAGGCAATGTGGACCCTCGGAAGTGGGTTCGGTTCCAATGTACTTGGTAAGTGTCTAGTTTAAGATGGCGTCTCTCCTCAACATGTGGTCCCTAGATTTGATTCTTCTACATGAACCAAAAAAGTTGTTGTATACATTCATCGTCAGCATGCTGAAGACTGTGGAGAAGGTATTTTCAGTTAACAAGTATGTCTAGTGAACACTCGATCTTTCAGGGAAAAGACAGAACAACATTGAGGCAGCCAGAGGGGAGGATTTAGACCATCAGCTGCCTTGCCAAAGGCAGTAGTGACAATGTTTGGGGGGCTCAGTCACCTTACGGGGTCTCTGTCCAGCCCATGCCTCCTTTTCTGAGCTTCCCCGACTTTCTTTTACAGGCATGGGCCCCAGGAGTCACTATCACTGCAAGTGCTCACAGGCTGTTGGGAGTACACGCTCCTGACTCAAGTGGAGACAACCGGGGCATCTGCAATTGGGACACAGGCCTTCTGGTCAGTCACTATTGGCCCCAGAACTAGGACAGCATAAAACAAGGGGCTGGCATGGCCATTGTCATGACGTGCCCTGAGAGGCAGAAAAGAGGAATGGAGGGAGAGGAGGCTGAAAGGGTATCAGGGAGAAGTAGAGATGAGAAACCAGGTCACTCCTGAGAGAAAAGGGGAGGTGGCAAGAGAAGAGCTGTCTCCACTCCCAGGGCCTCTCAGGGCTTTGTTCTGACCCCCCTGAGGCCCAGCTGCCCTTCCTGCCCTGGCCCATGTCCAACACACTCTCCGTTTGAGCTCAGGCAACCTTAAGATGTATCTGTTACGTGAAACCCAAGGAGTCTTGGCTGAGGGAGTGGTCGGGCAGACGGAGAGAGTAGATCAGCCAGGGACTGGGGCTGCACAGGCAGGGCCTGCCTGGTGATGCCCACCCAGGTGATCCCATCACACCGGCCTGCCCAAATCAGACATGCACACAAATCATTTTTGCTGATGGTAAAACTGAATGGAACAGATTCACAGTTATTCTTGAAACAACGTTCTTAGTCATTTCCTGATATCCTTTCCTGTGTAATAGGGAAGAAAGTGGCATTATGGATGGCACACCCCAAATTTTGTCTAGCCCCAAATACTTCTACAGGAGTATATGTAACTGTAGCTGTCATTGATCATGAATGTTGCAGGGGAAAAATAAAAACCGGCTAGGCACTGGTCACTTTAATGATCTGTCAGCCCCCATTCTGGGCCACTTGACACTCAGCTTTGGCTCTGCCCCAGATACAGGAGCAAGTCCTATCTCTAGCTGAAGGTTTCAAGGAGCCTTGCTTCAGGAGTTCAGGGGACACTGTTAGGTTACCCTGTGACTTGTTCTTCTTTCATCAAACCCTCTGGTTCTGGCCACCAGGCTTCAGCTTTCATCCTGGGATTGAGTTGGTTACATTCCTTGTTACAGGACCTGGCTTCTTGATTCCTCAGGCTTCAGCCCCTGCCTCTACAACCCAGCCAGGACCCTGATCTCTTCAAACGCAGGACTGCAATGTGCATACCTCTATTCTTTGTAGGTAGCACACCTGAAACACAGACCAAGCTGGGGACCTTGCAATCTGCCTTTCGTCATGTGTGATCCCCGCCCTGCCCCCCCCCCCACCCCCCGCCACTCTGGGTCATTCACACAATTATTCCCAACATCTTCCCCTCCACAATACCACCTCCACTTTCACCACTGCCAAAGTCATATTTGCTTTACTTATGGGACACCTTCTTTTGGTACCTGAATCTCTCTAAATCACCATATCATTTGTTCCTGCTCTGAGGGTCCATGGTCCTGCAGCTCTGCTGGCCTGGAAGACCTCCTCCCTGTCACCTTAACTGGGCACCAATCACGATGCCTGGCACTTAGCAGGGTGACAGGGAAGCAGTTGTGGTGGAATAAGCATGGGCATCTTGAGCAGACTTAGGTTCGAATCCCTGCTCCTCCACTTATACAAGGTTCTTAATTCCTCTAGAACAGAAAAGGACTGTTGAAAGGATTATATGAGTTAACGTACCTGGCAAGATTTTGAAATTATTTGATAAAATACATATGGCTTTTTTTCCTGAACTTATATTTTTTAACGGCTTTATTGATACTCACCTATCATACAACCTACTGACAAAGAGTACAGTCCAATGGTTTTTAGTATATTCACTAGATTTAGGGTTCTTTTTCTTCTTCTTCTTTTTGTGAGGGGAGGGCAGAGAGGGAGAGAGGAAGAAGAAGAGGAAGAGAGAGAGGGAGAGAGAGGGAGAGGGAGAGGGGGAGAGAGAGAGAGAGAGAAAGGGAGTAAGAATTGTAAGCAGGCTCCATGGCCAGTGTGGACCCCAAAGTATGGGGCTCGATCTCACAACCATGAGATCATGACCTGAGCTGAAATCAAGAGTCGAATGCTTAACCGAAAAAGCCACCCAGGTGTCCCTAGACTTAGATTTCTTAAAATGCAATTAAAGCATGAGAAATATGAGGCTTAATAACACTTAAGAAGACTTCGGATGTTAGTCAGCTACAAGGTTACATAAATAAATGGTACGATGCTAGTATGCTGCCAAAAGGGCTTATGTGATATTGGACTGTGCTGGACACATGTGATGATCAGAACAAGACGAGTAATAGTTCCCTGTGATTTAAGAGCTGGCAGTGTGTTCAGTCATTGGGCTCATTTTAAGAGAGATGTGGGCAAATTGGAGAATGTCCAAAGAAACATGAAAAGGGTGATGAGAAACTGCAAATACTCTGCTATTCATTCTGGAGAAGTAAATTAAATTCTAAGAGGGAGGCTGTCCTCAGTTAGCTCAGGGCATTCGGTTGGAAAATGAATGACATGTGTTTTCTATGTTCCTTTCCTAGGCCTGAAAGCCAATAGGTGAATTTATTTTACTATTTTTTATGTTTGTTTATTTGAGAGAGAGAGAGAGAGAAAGTGTGAGTGCGTGCGCACGTGAGTAGGGAGGGGTAGAGAGAGAGGGAGACACAGAATCCAAAGCAGGCTCCAGGCTTTGAGCTGTCAGAGACCCACGGACCACGAGATCATGACCTGAGCTGAAGTCACACTTAACCGACTGAGCCACCCAGGTGTCCCATCAATAGGTGAATTTAAAAGCAAGTAAACTTCGACAGGATACAAGGATTTCCTCTTGAAAATAGGAAAGAGTTGTCCCTTCCTAACCTGAAATTCCATATTTAATATATTGCTACCTTATTAGCAAGTCTGAGAGCAACGGCTGACAGAGCTCTTGTTCTGTGTACTATGTTGAGCTCAGGTGGATAAAATGATCCAGCAGGTCAACCCTTCTTCACTTAAGGTCAACCATTCAGTTTGTGGGTTAGTAAAGTGGTTCATTCTTTCTCCTATTTTTTATTCCTGTTTTTGGTATAAAAGAAAAGAATGCCTCAAAGGGTCCATATGGATATTTTATTAGCAGTTTTGATGACGGTGGAAATACTCCTAAAATAAGACTCTGGCATAACCTGTTCAGGAGGACTATGCTCCTCTCGTCCCCGCTCTATGTGAAGTGACTTCTTTTTAGTTCTTAAAATTGACCACTCTGGAAACATTTAGGGAAATTAGCAAACACTGTCTCCCAGGGTTCCCTTACTTTCGAGTCTATGCCACACAGTGACTGCAGAGCTGACACAATTCACAATGATGACAGACCTTCCACTACATTTTTGGACTATGTGTCTCTATGAAAAATACACTTAGAGCCAACGGCATTTAACTTTCACCTATGGGAGATTTGGAATTTAAGCAGTTTAACAGAGTTAACTAGTTTCAGATGAGTGGACTATTTAGGGGAAAGTATTTGGGGGAGATTAGACTCACTCTCAACTGTCTTCTAGGTCACATCTATTTCTCCTTTAGGAAAACTCATAATAACCAAGGTCTATATATTTAAATCCCAGTCTATTGTGCACAGCTGTTTATGCAGTGACCAGGTAACAGAGTAGGGAGACAGAGCCAGGGTTAAGGTAAAGCTCTGGGACTCAGGGAAGGTAAAGCTCTCTGCTGGCCAGTGCTTGTCCTGCATGACAAGTGGCTCCTTATGCCACCTATTGGATTTTGAAAGAACGATCTCTAGGTTTTTGATTCAAAAGTAAGACTCCAGTAAGTATTTTCTGCAGATAGAACAAATTCATGGTCTTCCCTAAGTCAGAACTATTCTAAAAACTTTGCATTTTACAAGTCACTAAGAGGGAAAACATCAACAGCCCAAGGTTCCCAGAGCCAACTGATTCCTTTATAATCAACAAGCTCTAGGAATTAGTCAGCATTGACTGAGCACTTACAGCATACTGTGCACTTTACAAGCATTATCACCTCATTCTACCTTCATACAACCTTATAAAGCATACATAAATATTTTCATTTTACAGATAGGGAAACAAGACGGGTAAGTAGCTATTAGGCTTAAAAACTTTCTGCATTGCCTGCCTGTTCTGTATATAGCTATTCTGCAAATAGTTGAATAAGTTGTTAAATGTGAATAAACAGAGCACCATTCTTCTTAATTCTCTGAGCCTGCTGACCCACTATCCTTTTAATCAGCTTTTATATAATGGGAAAACAGAATAATTTTCATTTATTTTTGCTCGAACATGCCTTCCAAGGGAAGAGCTCACTATACTATCTCAGTAACCCTATAATGACTTACACTCACTTTTTCAGTTCCAGAAAACAAGTTAACTTGGGCTTGGCCAAAATTCCATGGTCCTTCAGTCTTTTCATCACACCGAGTTGAGGCACAGGAAATACCAAAGGCATGCATCAAGAAGGACCTATAAAGTTACGACAGAAAAAGGAGAGTTCTGGATAAACCAGAGGGAGAAGAGTGAGTCCTCAAAGAAAGACCATCAAGCCAGTTACGTGGAGTAGATGCCACTCAGGACATATTCCTGTGCCTATTATGCTACTAGGCAAGCGGGGGAATGACAGCACATCCTGCTCTTAAGAAGCCGATGGACTTCTAAGGAAGACAACACACAGACACATGGACATGAGGAGCACGAATCTGCAGTACAAGAACGTGAAAAGAAAAACCACATCAGACAGCAGTGGTTATTGAGAAAGGATTAATGTAGGCAGTAAGGGCTGCAGAAAAGGGGAGGTTACTTTGGCATACACTGTATGCCAATACTGACCTCAGCATCTTCATAAAATATCTTCACTGCGAGCTGGGAGAAGACAATGAAATTTGAGAGAGCACCTGGGCTCTCAGCAGCTCACCTCTCCCCTGAAGACTCAGGCAGGGGACAAGATGGTTTGCAGGAGGCAACAGCTGGACAGATGTGGAGACCAGGCACCTGACCATCACGACAAGCAAGATGGTGCTGGGAGGTCTCACCTGGATCCCCAGTCTGGATGTACTGGATAATAATGATTTTTTTTCCCCTCTGTATTTTTCCTTCTTTCTATCTTTCAGCAGGAGTAGCCTGTAGTTCTTCTGGGCTTTGCTTTTGAAAATTTTGAGCCCTCCATGGAAACGAGAGTAGCAGTTCTCAACCTTGGCTCCTCATGGAATCACCTGGGGAGTTATAAAAAATACTGCTACTTGGGTCCCACCCCCAAATGCTCTTCAACTGACCTAGGATGCTCTCTGATGATTCTAACATGCAACCAAGTTTGAGGATCACAGACTTAAAGGTTCCCTGGACATAGTAAGGGACAATAAGATCTGCTGAAATGGACAACATCTTGGAGAAGGAGGGGAAAAGGGAAACTTCTCTGTTCCAATCTAGAGAAAAGCCCTGATTTGTTATCTGGAGTCATGGGACTCTGGGTTCTGGCTTCCGTACAGTCTCACAGAGAAGGTGGGAGCACTGCAGAGAGAATGCCAGTTTGGTAAACACTAGGGCAGTGTTTCTCCTCATGGGATCTGCATGCAAATTGCCAGGCGATCTTGTTAAAATGCAGATTCTGACTCAGGAGGTCTGGGGTGGGGCATTTCTGCATTTCCAGAAAGTTCCTAGGTGATCCCTATACTGCCCATAATGCGTCAAAGATCTTCATGGCTAGGACTCTAGGCTGTTTCTGTTAAGATTCCCATTTCCATCTCAAGCCACAACCTGTTAAACGTGAAGGGTTCCATAGTTAGGGGCAAAGGACATCCCTGCGGTGACCTGGTCTGAGTGATAGCTGAAGGGCAGACGGACCCCATCCACAGATCTACAAAGCCTTGCAGGCTAAAGAGGGGCATATCCTGGCAAGGGATCCCCATGCCGAGGTCCTAGCAGAGTACAAATGGCCCACTCAGAAGAGATGATTGAAGATAGTTTCATGTAGGTATTATTTACAAGGCTGAGGCAGGGTTAACAGAAATGAACAAAAGATGGTGAGACACCATCCTTCAGGCAGAAGAACCAAAAGGGGAGGATGTATTGACTGGAGTCCCATAAGAGCTGTAGGAAAGGGATGCCTGAAGCAACTGTTTATTTTTATTTATTTATTTATTTGTTTGTTTGTTTATTTGGGGAGGGGCAGAGAGAGAGAGAGAGAGAGAGAGAGAGAGAATCTCAAGCAGGCTCCACGTTGTCAGCACAGAGCCGGACATAGGCTCCTTCTCACAAACTGTGAGGTCATGACTTGAGCTGAAATCAAGAGTTGGATGCTTAACCAACTGAGCCACCCAGGTGTCCCTTTAATTTTTTAAGTAGCCCTCACACCCAGCACAAAGCCTAATGTGGCACTTGAATTCAGGGCCATGAGATCAAGACCTGAGCTGAGAGACACCTGGGTGGCTCAGTTGGTTAAGTGTCTGCCTTCAGCTCAGGTCATGATCTCACGGTTCATGAATTTAAGCCCTGCACTGAAAGCGCTGAAAGTGGAAAGCCCACTTCAAATCCTCTGTCTCTCTCTCTGCCCCTCTCCCAGACACACACTCTCTCTCCCTTTCCCTCAAAAATAAATTAACATTAAAAAAAAAAAAAAAGACCTGAGCTGAGATCAAGAGTCAAGTGCTTAACCCACTGAGCCACCTAGGTGCCCCACAACTATTTCTTTTAGAGAAAAATAGCCATGTGGAAGAAAATGGTCCATCAAGGATAGATCCAGGGGAGTGAATACCCCAATATTTCTCTTCACCCACCCTGTGATTTCCTACTGATACCTCCCATTTGCCCAACTCAACTAGAAACCAGAGGAGAGGAGAACTCAGCAGATGCAGCCCATCAAAGTCGGCTTCCTGGGCACAGAGAAGGGTGAAGAAAGGAGAGCAGATCAGGTCTGAGAAAACCTAGCGCAATCTCCAAGAATGAGGTGAAATGTTCTGGCAGGCCAGATTGCTTAGCCTGTTTAGACTGCTATTACAATAAACTCTAGAGTGGGTGGCTTAAAGGACAGACATTTATTTCTCACAATTCTGGAGGCTGGCAAGTCCAAGATCAATGGTGTGGGTAGATTTGGAGCCTAGTTCATAGATGACAGTCTTATCACTGTGTCTTTACATGGTAGGAACGAGGGGGTTTTCTCAGGCTTCTCTTATAATGGCATGAACTCCATTCATGAAGGCTCCACCATGATGACCTAACCCCCTCTCATAGTCCTCACCTCTGAATACCCTCACACTGGGGAGTTAGGATTCAGCCTCTGAAGTTCAGGGGGACACACACATTCAGCCTATAGTACAGCCCAGTGGGGCCCAGCTTCTGCCAGAAATTCAGTTGGTGTGGAAAAGAAAGAAAATGACAACAGAGTTCGCCCCTGAGACTCTTAACCCTTCTAGATGGGAGCTTACCTGAGAATGTCTAACATCTCCATGAGTTTCAACCTCTACAATGGAGCTTTTGGGACAGTGGTTGTGATCCTGTTAGAGAACCGGTGAGCAGGGAAGAGGCGGGCTTTCAGAAGTTGCTGTTGATTTCAGGAATGTGTTGACAGTAAGCCACACATGCTTTGACTCCTAACAGCAGGTGGAGCGGAGAGGAAGAGAAAAAGAACACGACCTGGTTAGAGTTTGCTGATGACACAGATTTCTCTGAGTGTCTCTGAAAAATACTTAGGAAGGCAGGAGTGTGAAAAGTTATCTTTAGGGCCCCACCTCATACCCTTACCCTGAATTTCTTAAGACAGAATGAATTTCCCACCATCTTTTTGGCAACAGGGCAGGAGCCAGAGGTGCACCCCCGCCCAGGGCATGTAGGGATCTGACCTATTTAGAACCGGTCTTGGCTAGCCTGAAATTCAGCACCGGGTAAATTCCCAGCTTAACTGGAACACCTGTGAGCTCTCCCAGAGTCTGAAGTTGACAAGGGGGAAGGGAGTGGAAATGGCTGCGCACTTGTGAGGTGAGGGAGGCTGGTGCTGAACAGGAGATAACTGAAGCACTGTCTTGGGCGCTGCTGCCAGATGGAACCGTCAGGGAGTTGTCAGCAGTACAGGAACTCCAACCGGCACTTCATGGTCCCTTGGAAAGCCTGGCGGGAGCTCCTGCCACTGGATCCCTGAGAGCGAGCTGCCAAGGCAAAGGGGCTCTGGGTCCCTTCATCTGCCAGCAGTGCAAAGATAATGGGACATTTAAGGAGACACTAAGTTTTTGAGGAGGCAGAGTTACAGGGTCTTTCTGACCTTGAGTTTTATTTCCCATGCGATTACAGTGTCTCAGAAGTTGAGGGTTTTGACACTGTACTGGGCATTAGTAAGGAACTGAAGCAATAACTAGGAGTAATCATCAGAAAGTGTTCTGGTGGGGGGGAGGGCGCCAGCGTGGCTCAATCGGTTAAGTGTCTGACTTTGGCTCAGGTCATGATCTCATGGTTCGGAAGCCCCACATCGGGCTCCATGCTGTCATAAAAGAGCCCAATTCGATCCTCTGTTCCTCTATTTCTGCCCCTCCCGTATTGATTCTCTCTCTCTCCCTCCCTCTCTCTCTCTCACAAAATAAAAAAATAAACTTAAAAAAAGTGTTCTGAGGCCTACTGCATATCAAGTGCCAGAATAAATTCGACGTTAATTAAAAAGTTAAAGAATAAATATAACAAAAGAATTGGAAGAAAATTTAGCTGATTCTAATGTGGCCAAGGCCTGTCAAAACACAATAGCAAAACAAGGAAAAACCAATGGGTTTGAAATAAACATACACACACAAAATTAAAAATTTCTGTATAGTTTTAAAATCAGGGGTGCCTGGGTGGCTCAGTTGGTTAAGCGTCCAACTTCAGCTCAGGTCATGATCTCAGGGTTCATGGGTTCGAGCCCCACATCGGGCTTTGTGCTGACAGCTCAGAGCCTGGAGCCTGCTTTGGATTCTGTGTGTGTGTCTCTCTCTCTGCCCTTCCCCCACTCATGCTGTTTCTCTCTGTCTCAATAATAAAACAAAATAAAAAATAAATAAAAATCACCAAAAAAATCAATAAAGTTAACAGTAAGTAATGAGTTGGGAAAATATTTGCAGCGTATGTAATTACTGGTTAATGTCATTAATATAGAAAGATACATAAGGGAAAAACAGACGATCATCTCAATGGAAATATGCGAACTGCCAATAAGCACTGAAAGATATTAACTAAAATAACACTGAAATATGATAAAATACCATACAGTTCTTCAGGATTGACTGAAATAGGGAAAAACATAGTATCTAGCATTGTTAAGGGTAAAAGAAAGGGGCATCTCAAACATTTACAACTGGAATATAAATTGGTTTGATTTTTCTGGAGGGTAAATAGTAGCTCATATTATTATTTTTAATTGTTGACTTATTTTTAAGAGAGACACATACATATAGAATACAAAGCAGGCTCCAGGCTCTGAGCTGTCAGCACAGAGCCTGATGCAGGGCTCCAACTCATAAACTGCGAGTTCATGACCTGAGCCAAAGTCAGACACTCAACCAAGTTAGCCACCCAGGTGCCCCAAAATGGGTATCACTTTTGACTCAGTAATTTGTCCTCTAGGAATGTATCTTAAGGAAGTAATCAAGGATGTGTACAGAGACTTATCTACAAGAATGTTTACCACAGTGTTATTTTAACAATGACAAATTCTGGGGAGTATTGAATGTTAAGATTGGACAGAACTGGGGAGTGGCTACATGGGTCTTCATCATTGTATTTTCTACAGTAACAAAAACCCCCATAAATTTAGTGGCTTAAAACAACATAAATTTTTTAAGTCACGGTTCTGTGGTTCAAAGTCTGACCTGGGTCTCACTGGGTTAAAATTGAGGTGTTAAAATTGAGGTTCCTCTTGGAGACCCCAGGGCAGAGTCCATTTCTAGCTTCTAGAAGCTGCCCACATGCCTTGGCTCTGGCTCCCTCTTCCATCTTCACACCGAGGAACATAGCATCCCTCAGACCTTTCTTTCATCACCGCATCGCTTTCTCAGACTCTCTTTTTCTGTCTTCCTCTTCCACTTTTAAGGGCTCTTGTGATCACACTGGGTCTACACAGATAGTGCTCCTAGTTAGCTAATTAGCAACCTTAATTGCAGCTGTCATGTTACCATAGGCCCTGGGGATTAGTGTACTGAAGTCTTGGGGCGGGGGGTCATTATTCTGCCTACACTGTTGTATTAGACCATTAGACCATATACTTATCTTTATAAAATGGTGAATATCTTGTAATATTTAAAATGTTCAGTATTTAAAAACCTAAATCCAATGTCCACTTTAGTGTATGGATGAAAGGAGGGTACGTATTCATAGTATGAATGCTGTGTGCACATTAAAAGTCATAATGTAGGAAAACATGTAACATGGAGCAATGTTCAGTATATAATGAATGGGGGAAAATTAAATCTACAAAAGAACATGCACAAGATGATACTACTTATGTAAAACTCAAACCCCAAACAAACCTCTATGCAAGTAAATAAAAAATGTTTGGAAGGTTACAGGTCAAAATGTCAATAACGTTTAGCTTTGGATGGTGATTTTAATTTTCTTCAATTTTTCTGCATTTGCCAAAATGTGTGAAGTAAAAGCTGATTGAGAATGTTATCTAGGACATTTTTCTGATCAAGTGTCTCCTGATATCCTTTTAATTACACTTGCTCACATCCATCCCTCAAGTTCATCCTCATCAAAAATATTTCAGTTTGAAGAGGCACATGCACCCCAACGTTTATAGGAGCACTATCTACAACAGCCAAATTATGGAAAAAACTCTAAAGTCCACGACTGATGAATGCATAAAGAAGATGTGGTATATACATGTATACACAATGGAATACCACTCAGCAATGAAAAAGAATGAAATCTTGCCACTTGCAATAAGTGGATGGAACCAGAGGGTATTATGCCAAGTGAGGCAAGTCAGTCAGAGAAAGAGAGATACATGATTTCATTCATATGTGGACTTTGAAAAACTCAACAGATGAACATGGGGGAAGGGAAAGAAAAGTAAGATAAAAACAGAGAGGGAGGCAAACCATAAGAGACTCTTAAATACAGAGAACAAACTGAGGGTTGCTAGAAGGGTGGTTAAACGGGTGATGGGCATTAAGGAAAGCACTTTGCCGGGGGGGGGGGGGGGGTTGGCGGCAGGCACCTGGGTGGCTCAGCCACTTAAGAATCCGGACCCTTGGTCTTGGCTCTGATCATGGTTTCCTGAGTTCAAGCCCCATGTTGGGCTCCATGGACAGTGCAAAGCCTGCTTGGTAGTTCTCTTGTCTCCTCTCTCTGCCCCTCCCCCACTATCTCTGTCTCTCTCAAAATAAATAAACTTAAATAAATTTTAAGAAAAGGAGGGCACATTTCTGGATGCGCAGAGTGTCAGGGATGAATCACTGTATGTAAGAAATGAATCACTGGGTTCTACTCCTGAAGCCAAGACTATACTGTATAGTAGCTGACTTAAATGTAAATTTAAAAAAATAAATCAAGTCTGGCTCTCGGCGACACCGTTTTTTCAGGCCCCAGTTATCCGCTCTGAAAAGTAAAATCCTGAGAGGCAGGAAGGAACGTTGCGGTGAACTAAGCCTGGCAGCGAATCCCGCTCAGGGCGAAGCAAACCCAAGCCCACAGCCCATCCCACAAAGAACTTAACCGATCGATACCTTGGAAGTTGGAAGCTCAAGTATAGGAACCTTTGATAGTTTCGCTGACACGGGTTAATAGTTTAGATTGATGCTACTGTTTAAAAACAAAAAACAAACAACAAACGAACAGAGAACGCCGGCGAGAGCTGGGGGCCTGGCGGCCGGGACGGTGGTGGGGACGACTCACCGCGCCCCCCTCCCCCTCTCTCCCCGTTTCCCTACGCCGCGCGGCTCAGGCGGCCGGGTCCCCGGTCCCTCTTCGCGGCCTAAGCCCCACGCGGCTTCCCAGCCGGACCACAGCGCCTGAGCCTCATTCCAGGCACCGCTAGCCCGACGCGGAGCCCTACAGCCGGCGGCCCTCGTTCAGGAGCCGGCTGGGCTGGTGCGCTTCGTGCCTTCGCGGCGAGGGGAACCTCAGCCTCACCCGCAGACCCGGATTGGCCGACCCGGCCAAAGCCGACCCCACCACCGAGAGGAGCGCCTAGAGCGGACCGGCCCGTCGGTGCCGACGCTCCGCTCCACCCAGCCGCCTCTATCCCGGAAGTTGATGCAGCTCACCCGATCGCGTGCAGCTCGCTAGGGGAGTCGCGTTAGAGATCGGACTGGCTGGGATTGCGAAAGGATCAACATGCCTGTGAGTTGTTTACTTTCTGGCTTTGCGCTTATTTCGGATTTCTCTGTCAAGGGGTCCAAGGGGAGGGTTAGCCCGATGCCTCCGCGGGCTCGGGGGCCGCAGCGAACGCGGTTCGGAGGTGCTGATTGCGCAGCTCCTCCGCGCGTGGCGGACTTGTTGGGACTTGCCTGGACGGCGCCGAGCGTCGGGCCCTGTATGGGCGTGGAGCGGGGAGGACCCGGGGCCGCCCTGGGCTTAGGTCTGGAGTCCCTGGCCTGGAGGGACTCATTGGCAACGTTCGGTAACGCTCAGCCTTCCTGGGCTTGGGTGGGCGCCCGCGAGACTTGTAGTCTGTGGAGTCTTTTTGCTTTCCTTGCGCTTGGTGGTTCTCCCCCCTCTCGGTAGCGATTTTCTGCTGGTTTCCTTTTTCAAAACTGTCTTCGCAGTTACCTTGTTAACTCCATCAAGGACAGTCAGGCTTCAGCCGCTCAGAGTTCCTGTCAGATCAGAAATTCCCCAAGGCTTGGCACTCTCCTGTCTACCTCAGCGATTTCTACTCTCAGCGGGTGCAATGGTTGGGGTCAAGTTCTTACTTAGCACCACAGTTTTGTTTATATTGGAGACTTAGTGGACTAAAGAAAAACGGGATTAACTTTACCATATGCTTGTTGGTCGTCACAGAGTTCTTTTACCGGGACTTGGAGAACACAAGCATTACAAAAAACATTGAGGTTAACAGGCTAAAAAAATAACCGATATCTGGCGTGTTGCGTTTGCCGAGTATGACTTACTCCCTTTTTTGCATGTGTCTTTTACGTCTGGTTAAATCTGCCAGCATTGTGGATTCATTCTGGGAATAATAATACGCTTTTTTTTTTTTTTTATCCAGTTGGCTAGAGATTTACTCCACCCGTCCTTGGAGGAGGAAAAGAAAAAACATAAAAAGAAACGGCTAGTTCAAAGCCCCAATTCCTATTTTATGGATGTAAAATGTCCAGGTAGATTTTCAGATCTTAATTCCTTTCTCAAGGAAAATTTCTGGGATTTCAAGGAAAATTCAAGGGATTGCTAGTATGGTGTGTTTGTTTAGATCCGTTAGGACCCTTTGTTGAGTAGAAGTGGGATTACAGAATTGGAAATGTCAAAAGGGGCATTTTCCTAATAAACGATTCAAACAGTTGGATAAAGATTTGGGGGAGGGGGTGGTGAAGAGGAGACCTTAAAGGGGATATGACATTTGACTTACTAAGTGTGTAAGCTGTTCAGATGATTAGTTTTCTTTTTCATGAACAGTATGTTGATTCTTTAGTGTAAAGCTGTGGTGGCCATTAGCCATATGTAGCTCCTGAGTACTTGAAATGTGGCCAAAATGGAAAGTACTCCTTAAGTGTAAAATGTATACCTGCTTTTTTAAGGTGGAGCACATACACAAAAACTATATTGATTACATGTTGCAGTGGTAATCTATTGGAAATACTGAGTTCAAGAAAATATATTACTAATTTCACCGTTGGCTTTTAAAAACTTTTCTTATGTGACTGCATTAAATGTGTAACTTGCTATTGCAAGCACTAAAGTTCTTAATCTTTTTTAATGTTTTTATTTATTTCTGAGAGAGAGAGAGAGTGCGAGCGAGCAGGGGAGGGCCAGAGAGAGAGGGAGACACAAAATGTGAAGCAGGCTCCAGGCTCTGCACTAGCTGTCAGCACAGCTGAGCACAGTTTGAGCCCTGACGTGGGGCTAAAACCCACAAATCATGAGATCATGACATGAGCCGAAGTTGGGCACTTAACCAACTGAGGCCCCCAGGTACCCCTAAAGTTCTTCATCTTTTACAGGGTCTTTGCTAGAAACATGTTGAACTGTATGCTTTATTTTCTTCTGCTTTTCACTTTGAACATTGCCCTTTCTCTAGGTTGCTACAAGATTACCACGGTTTTCAGCCATGCTCAGACGGTGGTTCTTTGTGTAGGCTGTTCAACAGTGTTGTGCCAGCCTACGGGAGGAAAGGCCAGACTCACAGAAGGTACATCATTTGGCATCTTCTAACCCAGTGATGAGATTTTATGATTATCAATATCTACCTTTACCAGAAACCAGTTTAAAAGAAATCTTAAATTCATTATTGCCAAAATAATTTTATCTTTCATTGTATGCTCTTTCAGTAAAGAGTACCATGCTCAGATGGCTAAGTTTATATTCTTGACTTTGTAAAGAACTCATTTAACTATTATTTTTCTTTGTTTGGAACACCTAATTCTGTTGTAGTTAGTCATTTAGTTTGCTTAACTTGGAATATTAAATGTAAGTCAAAGTGGAGCAAAACAATAATTACATACAATAGGACATACGGATTTTTAAAACCATAGAATTTAAAAAATTCTGTTGTAAATGTTTTATATGTATTTGACACATTAAAGATTTTATTATTGAGTAATCTCTACCCCCAGTGTGAGGCTCGAACTTACAGCCCTGAGATCAGGAGTTGCATGCTCTACTGACTGAGGCAGCCAGGTGCCCCTCAAAATCCCATTTTCACTTTCACTTTTGTGCAGTAAGAAAAAAATAGTAATTATGTATATTGTTTTCCATAGTAGTACTTGTAGATTTATAATTCCATAATGATATTTGAAATTTGCTTGTGATATTTTGGGGAGTTGTGAATTCCATGTTGTTCTCACCAGAAGAGCTATAGTTTGGCAACTAATCTATTTTGTATGAGCTGGTGAGATCTAAGTACGAGGTCAGTGTATGATATTTAAGTGCAGTATTGCTCTCAAAAGTATACTTATAAATGAGGTTTTAAACCTTTATATATCATGCCATGATCTTAGAGTTTTGTGCCCATGTGCTGATGGCTGATTAATAGGGTATTAGAGTTTTCCTAGCAGATTTGAAGAGAATCCTAATCAAAATTAGTTTCTTAGGAAAGTGATTCAGAATAATTCCTAAAAACTATGATTGCATTTTCTGATAGCTTGCATTAAAATTTTAACTATTGAATTTAGGCGCGTGGTCTTCTATAGACTCCAATATAGCATTTGAGAAACAGGAATAACAGTTAAAGTCACGTCAGAATAAATTCAAATATATACGACTTATTATAACAAAGTTCTAGTATAAAAGAAATATAACCTATATATGAAAATCTAATATTCCTAAAGCTTTGGGTTTTTTTTTTTTAACTTAAAAAGTACTTTTTGTCATTAAAACTATACTAGAGATAGAGTACACTTGTGTAACATGCTCTTGTGGTTCCTTTTCAGGGTGTTCATTTAGAAGAAAGCAACACTAATGATCCACACAATCTCTTGAATTTGTGTTACATCGCAGAAAGCCTTATCAGTTCAATAATTCCAGTTAATCTACCAAGATAATGTAATTATGTTTAATTTTGTAAGGTATACAACAGTCATCTCCTATTTTGGTGTCAGTTTTTCAATAAAGTTTTGATTATGGGCAAATTTCCCTTTTTCTTATTAAAGTATGTGTGAATTTACTATATGTTTACATATACTGTGTGTGTGAATTTGGTATAAATATTTTAGGAAGTGTATTCTGATCAGTTTATCTCATTTCAGCAGTAGAAATCCTAAACATTTGATTTTCAGTCCTTTTCCAACTGCTATGAGTAGGCTAAATAAATAAAAAAAATGGAAAGAGGTCCATTATTTGTTACTTCTAAAAATAGTTTGCTGTTGTAACTATGGAAACATTTATAGAAGTATATATTTAATGCTGTAACAATCAGTATAATTACACAGTAATTATAATGTAATGCTTTGGATTTATGTGGCCCTAACATGCTGCGTAATTTAGAAGAATAACTGGGGTCTGAGTTACAGGAAACTCTTTTTGGGGTAGGAAATTGGAGAGGAGGCATCAGGAGTAGCATGATTTACCCCAGGATATCCTGTCTGGGAATGGTAGATGGCATGGAATTCTCTGGTCCAGATACATGAGCACACCTGACTACAGGTGTATGTTGAGTAGCTCTGGTGTCTCCTTATCATTTTGATAGTTTATGGAGTGATCCTAGGGCACTAGGAAGTGGAGTGTATCTCCCTCTAGCCACATTGGACTGGGAAGATAACTGCTTGTATTTGACTGGTTACCTTTAAAGTAGGCCCTTAAGATGGTCCTTTCCTCTCAAGAGATGTTTCTGCGTATTCACCCCCAATCTGGAAGGCTGATCCTTAAACATACCGATTCATGTACAAGAGGATCGCAGCACAAGAAGTGAAAACTGAGAAACTCGGAGCCCCTGGGTGGCTCAGGTCACGATCTCAGGGTCTTGGGACTGAGCACTGCATTGACCTCTGCACTGGGCTGCATGCTGAGTGTGGAGCCTGCTTGAGATTCTCTCTCCCTCTGCTTGCTCACACCCACTTTCTCTCTCTCTCAAAAAACCAAAACACCCAAACTGAAGAACTATCCAAAGTTTGGAGTGTATTTAATATATGAAGTAAATAACCCAAATGTTTACAAACTTGCTCGGTTTGTGGCATCTATAGAGTCTCAGTAATTTTTTTCAGAGTTCCTTCACTCACACACACACACACACCAACAGTTTAGGTAGTTAGGTTCTAATACATGTAAATTAAAAACAAAAGTGGTATTTTGTATCTCATTCTTAAATGACCACAGTTAGTAATGGGATGGGTGTCCCTTTTGGGCAATGCACAGTTTCTCAAAATTGGAATCAGATTGGACAGTGCCATCTCCTTTCTTCCACATTCATTTTTGCATAGTACAGCAACAGACCAAAACCCAGCTT